AATTTAGTCGCCAAAAGTTATGAAATTGGCGACCAACTAATTTTTTTAGTCGCCAAAAGTAAAATATTTAGCTACTAAATTTTTTTAGTCGGGGTATATTAGTTTTTGGCAACTCAAAAAAAATTTCGTCGCTAAAAATGCTAGAATTGGCGAGTAAAAAAATTTTTAGTCGTCGTACATTAAGTTTTGGCTACTAAAATCATTTTATCGCCAAAAGAGAAATAAAAAATTTAATTTTTTACCTTTGGCGACCAAAATTTTGGTCGCCAAAGGTAAAAAATTAAATTTTTTATTTCTCTTTTGGCGATAAAATGATTTTAGTAGCCAAAACTTAATGTACGACGACTAAAAATTTTTTTACTCGCCAATTCTAGCATTTTTAGCGACGAAATATTTTTTTAGTCGCCAAAAACTAATATACCCCGACTAAAAAAATTTAGTAGCTAAATATTTTACTTTTGGCGACTAAAAAAATTAGTTGGTCGCCAATTTCATAACTTTTGGCGACTAAATTTTTTTTAGTCGCCAATTTTGGTCGCCGAATGTGTATTTTGTTGTAGTGAACATATCTTAATCACAACCAAACTAATTATTTAGACATAAAGATAATTTTTTATTAAACAACCCCATTCCCAATCATCTTTATTAAATTCTTTTTAAAGTCTCATTTGTTTTGACGTAAAATATTTATAAAAAAAAAATCTTATAAATTGATTTTACATAGAAAAAATATTTTTGTTTTTGTTTTTCAATGTTTAGTTGATACTTAAGCCAAAAATATTTTAATTCCTAAAAGAGAAATTTTGATTCAATAAAATATCATTTATGATTTTTTAGTAAGTTAAGATACTTATTAAAAAAATAAAATATGTTAAAAATGTAGTGAGTTAGAGTTAATTTTAAAAAAATTGACTTACGGAAATTTTAAACATGAGTTATTTTTAAAAAAATAATACAAAAATATATGGAAAATGAGTAAAAGTCAAAACAAATGAAACCTAAACATATAGTTTTTTTTCAAAAAAAAAAAGAAAAAAAAGTGGTTGGGCTAGTAAGGGATTGTACTTGGGAGAGAAAAAAAAAAGAAAAAAGACAAAGAAAAAAAGAATAGAAGTGGTAGGGCCAGTAAGGGATTGTACTTGGAGAGACACCATGCTCAAACCTACTTGTTCAGCTGCTTTTCCCAATGATTCATTGTCGGTGCAAAAATAATTTTAAGAGACTCCTGCCGAATCTCATAAATTTATGCAAATATTTATAAATTGAGTAAAGCTATCACCAAAAAGTTGACTCCATACTATAACCAAAAAAAAAAACAAACGTGTATTATATGTTACCAATATTCATGATTGTTTACTATTTAAAAATTAAAAAATAAATAATATTTTGTTGTATGTCTTAGTGATATAAAAGAGTGTTTGGGATGGGTTAAAATGGCTTATTTCAGATTAAAATAGTTAATAAAATAAAATATTTTATCACATCACTTTCTCTATTTTTTTTATATTTCTTTTCATAAAAAATTAAATAATCAACTAAAATAACTTATTTCAAATATCTATATAATAAGGGAAGAAAGTTTTTGAAAATGTCCCAAAATGTCTTAGAGATACATTTTAATCCAATGGTTTAAATTATCTCATCTCAACTTCAATGGTTGAGATGTCTTTATTTCCCGCCCAAACGTTCTTTGAGCATCAACCGAGATCTAACGGTGCAAAATGTAAATTGAAAAAATGAGCAGTGGGAGTCGAGTGCTCTGTAAATCCTTCAGAGCTCGAACTTCCTCATCCAACCCTTCTAGGGTTTTTCGAATGGCCACCGAGCCTCCTTCTTCATCCTCTAATGGCGATTCATCCTCGGTTCCCACTTCTTCTGCCATCGATTTTCTCTCTCTCTGTCACCGTTTCAAGGTATTTTTTTTTAGATATGTATATAGGTATGATTCATTTGAGTGTTGATTGTTTTGGACTCGAATATCATTGCCTAAATTTGTGATTTTGTTTTTTGGGTTTGGGGGTTTTTTGGGGTTTGATCAGATGACGAAGAGAACGGGATGGATGCGAAGGTGTTGAGAATCCAGAGTCCATAGCCGATCATATGTATCGAATGGGGTTGATGGCTCTCATTGCCTCTGACAGACTTCTCTCTGACATCTCTAACAGGGCATGGTATGTGTAGATGAAGTGTAGAGATGCAAAGTTGGGAATAAATTTGCAGCTCATGTGCTTCTCCTCTCTAACAGGGCATGGTATGTGTAGAGTAATATTTTGCAATATTGGGGTTTGTGTTGGGTTAATCCCTGCAATCTTTAGGGATTGGTGGTTTAGTGGTTTGAACTAAAACATGAGGGTTTGAGAACATAACCTGGGTCATTTAAATTATCAAACAAATTAAATTAAATGACATCCATGATTGCAAATTAATTTGTATTAAATTAAATTAAATGACATCCATGTGCTTCTCCTCTCTAATATAATTGGTATAATTGGTATTGATGTCATCCACGATTGCAAAAAGTGATAAACCAAAATATAATTGGTATTAATGGTTTGAACTAATCATAGATTGTTTGAGAAATGAGGTTTAATGATAAAGCTGGATTTCAACCAGTAACAGAGAAAGGAATTTAATGTGGACATTGTTTTATCACTTTTCCTCCATGTTTGTGCATCTTTATTGCAGGCTATGAAAACAGAAAATATTTTGGTTAAAAACACAACCATGCCATTGATTCCGATTCTCTCCTTTTTTTTTTTAAAAAAAAAAAATATATTAAATGAAACTCATTCTCCCATATGAATAGATATACACTTAATTTTCTGACACAAGTTTACACACACACACACAAACAAAAAGCAATTCCTACATGTGCTAGCTATAATTCTCAGAATTCCTATACGCTTGAAACTGGGAAATTATTGATTTATACAACTTAGAACATGACATCCATTTGTGTACACCTGAACTTACTGGAATTGGGTCAGAAACGATCCCTGGAGAGGGTCACTCTTTTTGCACAAGCTGCTCAACATCTCTAAGCTCCACTCCACTCCCTTGCCGTTCATGTTCACTCTGAAACAATGCCTCAATCTGCTCCAGTGATTTTCCTTTTGTTTCAGGAAAGAGAGAAATCAGATTCTAAGAATTTTTTAAACTGAAATGGAGTACTTGGGTTTTTTAACTACTTTCATGTTGTTGCTCTGTAAAATATTCTCAGTCATTGATGTTGTGTAAACTTATATAGATTTGGTTTGGTGTGGATGTTTGCTATGTGGATTTTGATCAAAAACACCATTTTCGTGTTGGCATGGGGTGCTCCAAAGGGAGAATGGAGAATTCTCTATACATGATTCCAATATGTATGTATATATATGATTCCAAACCCCAAACCCATCTATATAATAAGGGAGAAGGGTTTTTGAAAATATATAAAATGTATCAGAGATACATTTGATATTAACGGATAAGATGAATTTAAGTTTATATCGATGGTTCAGATGAATGACGATTGCCGCCTAAATATACCCACGTCTGACCCTTATAGAGTAACAGAGTACGCATTTTGATTTTGATTTTGATTTTTGTTTTTCTAAACCTTAAATTGATTTGTTAATTAGGTATTTTCTGGATATCATTTTTAGGTATTTGGATTGCTCTAAAACAATTCGGTTTCAAAGCATTTCGGTTTCAGAGCTCTCTGTATACACTGCTTCCATAGATCGGTGAGTGTTTTTGTGTTTTATTTTTTGATAGTGACTTCAATTCCATTGTGGGTTTCGATTAGTTTGTAATTGTGTTTATGTATAGTTGATGTGTTTCAAATTATGTTGATTTGTTTGAACCCAATTGTGTTTGTTATTGCTAGAAAAAAGAGAATTTTTATTGGGTTTTGAGTTTTAAGACTTAATAGAAGTAGTTTTGTTGGTGGGTTGGTGTCATTGGATTTGTTTAATGGAAACTTAGGAGTGCTTCTACGTTTGGAGCTAATTTGGTGAGCTGGGTCTGAATTTGGAGGTAAATTAAGGAGTGGTGAGTGGTTGTCAAGCTCTGAAGAATAAGTTATTCTCTTACTTTCTCTCTCTACCCAACCCCGAACCCCCTATTCCTTTGTTTCTATCTTTGAATTTATTTGGTCTAATGTTTAGTTTGGTGTGATTTTGATTGACTTTTGTTAGGTTGTTGTTGCCTCAAGCTGTTGCCTCAAGTTATTTGGTGTGATTTTGATTTTGCTATTGCCTCAATTTGATTCATGTTAATTGTGATTTTGATTTTGTCTCAATTTTAATTTTGATTTTGCTGTTGCCTTAATTTGATTTTACTGTTGGCCTTAATTTAACTTCTCTCTTCTAATTTCTCTCTAAACTTGGGAATTTGATTCATGAAAATTTGTCTATTTCAACACAATCAAGTTATTTTTTTGGGTTAAAATAGTGTGGGTCTTTGTATATTAGATCAGTCTTTGTATGTTATTAAAATAGTATATTTGTTGCAGTGAACCAAAATAATATCTTTGTTGCCATTAATAACCTACAATATATTTGGGTTTTGATATATTGTTTACAGCTTTTTGAAATCTATATAAGTAACCAAACACCATAGAGAAAGGTTGATCATCAAGGATTTCTGAGAACCTAAGAAAAGAAGGAGAAAAGAAAATGGAGAGAGAGAGAAAGAGAGAGGGGAAGGTGGGAAGGTGGGTATGCTTTTTGAATACTACTTAAATTGTAGAAACATACATACATCTGTATGTATGTTTTTTTGAATATATTTAGTGTTTGGTTACTTCTATTGAATATTTAGGGTTTGATTTCTATTGAATATATTGTTACAATTTTTATGATTTATTTTTTTTTTAGAAATTAGAGAGCTTAAAAAAAATGATTTGGAAAAAATATTTGACTACAATATATGGTGGTTAGTTTTTTTTAAGATTTTATGAAAATGACGGAAATTACTTGGTTTATGCGAAATACATACATCTCAAGATTAGTTGGGACGTAATTTTGAATATGTTGGTGAGCTAAAAACAAAAAATCAAAAAAAAAAAAAAATTGTATTGTCACATTTAATTTATCAGTATTTTATATCTTAACCAGTATTTATATATAAATTCATTCTATTCTATATAAAGTGAGTGGGGGTAGATGGAGGAGTGTCTTGAGAAGGGGACTTCCTAAAGAATTTGTATGGGTTGATGGCTTTTTAAGTGTGAAATTGGTCCCTCTTTTTTTATGAGTTTTATGGGTCTTCTTAAAGTGAAGAGCATGTCCTAGATTTATGTGTTTTTGTAGTTAGTATAGGAAAGGTAAAAAGAAAATAAGGAAGGATTTGGAGGCAAAGGGCATGTGAAATTGTTTTTTGGAAATGTTTTTTTTTTTTTTTTTTTTTTTGGTGGACAAATTTAAACTCAAAATTTGAATTGGGTTCTGTTAAAAAAAAAAATGGTAATCAAAGTAGTTTATGTTTTACTATTAAAATGTAATCTTTTCACAAGGCAAGTGAAAAAGAGAGAGAGAGGAGAGATAATAGGGGTGATGCTATTTGTTTAAAGACTGGGAAAAGGAATTTTTTTTTTTTTTAACAAAACTTTGTTATCCATCTCAGTGACAAAGCCCACGAGACATATTCTTACAATAAATTATCTTTTCCAGTTTTTACTTTAATTTTATTGGGGTGCATTTAAAAGTCGAAACCAACAATTATATTTTAACCTCAAATTTTTAGCAATGAATTTAATAAATTATATTTTAATTTAATAATTTTATATTCTGGTTGTGGTTTCCAATTTTCCCTTTTCTCTGCAACAGAAACGGTGGTCTCGCCATTGATCAACATCAAGCTCCGTGACTGTCCACCCTCCCTCGGCTCCCACCGTCCCAAAATGAGAGGTATTTTATTTCTTCAGTTCTTTGAGGCTTCAGTTATAGGGCCAATTTTTGAATCAGTCCATATCTATGAACTGGTTTCCAATTTTCTGGTTGTGGTTTCCAATTTTCCCTTTCTCTGTCTTCAATCAGTTCTTTGTCTGGTTTGTCTGATGTACACAGATTTCTCCACCATGACCACAGTAGCATATTTGCTTCTTCCTTTTCGCAGGCACCCACACTCCTCACAACCATCTTTGCTCCTCCCTCCTTAGCGATCCTTTGTCGACATCTTGATCGCAACAACTGTAGCAACCCCAGTCCCCATCTCAACCGCCGCACAGCTACCATCTTAGCCTCATGCAACATTGCGAAGGGTAAACACATTTATTTATATACATGCTTCAGTTTGATCAAGATTTTTAACTGCATTCGCATGATTTTACTTAATCTAACTATTGTTCTCATATAGCAAAAAGCCTTAACTTTTCACACCCTTAAGTTTATGAACAGTTGAGCTCCATATACTTTGTAAATTGTTTCTATGTAGAAAAACTAAAAACTGCTTTGAGAAGTACATGACTTGGAGGCTGAACTCCAAATTGAGATTGCCAGAGATAATTTCCCTCAATAGTAGTATTATGTAGCCAAGAAAACATTGTAAAATTTCATTATCTTATGCAAGTGATATACGCAAAAGTTATAAGTTGATGTGAGTCGTGATCGATAAAGCATCATACTCCTCTTTTTTTTTTATGGAATCTGAACAGTGTTGTGGAATTAAAGGTCTAACAAGAGTTTGAAAAAATAAATTATAAGAAATCAATAGGGCACTAACCGATCCCCAGGGAAGACTAAAGTTTTTGCTAATTTAAGGGAGATTTCTTTTTCTTCTTTTTCTTTTTTCCTTCAGTTTGTGTATTGGATTTCAAATATTTATTTTTAGATTTGTGGATTATGCTAATTAGGTTATACAACTATTTCTCTTTTGGTCTACAAAACATGCTAATGTGTTTTTATCTTTATTAGTTAAACATGCTGAAAGTCCAATTTTGTCATGGTTTGATTCTAGGCATGTAATTCTTTATCTTTGTGCGGATGTTATGTTATTTTCTTGAGTAGAGTAATTCATGGTCTTCTTTGTTTTATTTTTTTATTTTTTTGTTAAAAGTAAATAAAATTGCGTAAGGAAATAATATTCAATAATTCTATTAATTGGTACTTTTAAATCTTCTAAGATAAGGAAGAAGATAATATATATATATATATATATTTGAAAAGTTTTTAAACAAAATCCGAAATCCTTAATTTTAGAGACTCCTCCGTAGGAATTGCCTCAAAAAATTTTTTAGATTCTTTTAATTATCTATACATGTAATGCTCCGTTGTTCCCGTTGAAAACATTTTTTCGTGGAAAAATTCACATTGATTGAAGTTTGTAATTTTTTTATTTACTAGAGTGAACTCTTCCAGGTTGAGGCATGAGTTATAGTTATAAAGGTAAATTCATTATTTAATTATTGAGCTTCGTTGGAGGTTTTATTTAATATGATTTGAATTTTTTGGCTAGGGGTTCATGTATATTTTTGGATCTGAATCAAAATATTATGTTGTTTTTTTATTTTTTATTTTTATCATTTATATTTATTTTGTATTTTTTAACCTTTATAATTAACAATGTTTCCAACTGGTTTGTTTTCTTGATGGGAACTCAAAGCAACATATTCATCAAAAAATGAATATTAAACACAAGGTAAACTTTAATTGCTTTTTGAATTTAATTATGTGTCGGTTTACAATCTTAAAAAATTCTTATCCATTATAACGTTGTTTAATCATGTTCCAATTAATAATGTAACTTTTCTTTTCTATGAAATACATGTCTCACATTTCTTTTTTTGGGTTTCCATTGAACAATACACTCAATGAGTTAGAAGAGTGTAGGAATAACCTAAACTCTTACATTAGGAAAAAATACATAGATACTCTCCAGGTTTTGCTTTAAAGTTAATGATTTTGGTGTAAACTATTTTAATTTGTTGGGGTTTGATGGGTTTTGATTTCTGAAATTTGAAATGGATTTGATGGGTTTTATTCGCAGAAATTCGTAGAAATTCGAAGTCGTTTCGCTTGAGACATCACCCTCGGGAACAAGTTTTCCGGCTTCGGTGCTTTCCGACACATCCCCGTGAGTTTACTCTCTCTATCTCTCCTAGAAATATGTATAGATATATGAATCTATAAACATATGAATTTGTGAGCAGAAATGGTATGCTCTCTATGTCTCTCTCTTATTTTGCTTTCTATGGATATCTATGAAAAGTCATGAAATTATTGTTGTATTTTTGTTATAAAAAATCAGACCAAATTGAATAAAAGATTCTGCCATGAATACTTTCATCCCATGATTACTTAAACGATTCTGCAGAAATGGTATGCTCTCTATGTCTCTCTCTTATTGTTGTATTTTGCTTTCTATGGATATCTATTTATTGTTGTATTTTTTTTAGATTTAGATTTTAGATTTTTCAAACAACCCATTGTTTTTTCAATGTGTTGGGTTAGTTTTAGGTTTCTTTATCGGTTCAAATATTTAAAATTTCATCAGATTTTTAAACTTTCATCCCATAAATGTCGAAATTCCACCATAAATCAGTAGTTTCATCATATTTTTATCAACCCATAAATCAATAGTTTGTACCAAAAAAATTATATCCTGTTTGGTTGGAAAGAAAGTGGGGGAAATTGGTTGTGCATTTGATGATGGCTGTTCCATTGTATTTTCAATGTGTTGGGTTAGTTTTATTTTGGTTTTCTATGCCATTTGTGGAATACTTGATAGTTTTACTTGGGTTTTTTCCTTGCTGCACTTGGTGCAGAAACTTTTATTTGATAAAATTTCTGTCATGAACACTTTCATCCCATGAATACTTAAACTTCCATCAGATTTTAGATTTTAGATTTTTCAAACTTTCCATTATTTTTCAATGTGTTGGGTTAGTTTTAGATTTTTTTTTATCAGTTTAAATATTTGAACCTTCATCAGATTTTTAAACTTTCATCCCATAAATATGTCAAGTATTTCACCATAAATCAGTCCATGAATTAGTATTCCACCATAATCTGTAATTTCATCATATTTTTATCAGCCCATGAATTAGTAGTTTGCACCCAAAAAAATTATGTCCTGTTTGGTTGGTAAGAAAGTGGGGGAAATAGTAAAGAAAGTGAAATTTGGGCTATATCAGTTGGTGAGAGAGAGAGACAGTTGAGAAGATTAATGTTTTACAGTCTTTGGGGGAGAGACACTGAGGTAATAGAGAAGAGGAGAGAGAGTGGGTGAGAAAATTGAGAGATTGCAATTTGGGGAAGTGCAATTTATCTTGGGAAATTTTTTTTTATTAAAAATATAAAAAATGCTACAGATTCTTAAAAAAATACAACTTTATAACTCTCACTCATCTATGATTGGTCCAGGAAGGAAAGAAAAAAAAATAAAAATATATGATTAGTTTACATCATTTTGAGAATCATGGAGGTTCCTAATTTTGGGGGTTCTTGAAATTTATTTGGGTTACGAATAAATTGGTGTTTCATTTAAGTTTCATATCTTCATTTAGGAATTTTTCTCCTTCCTGTGAATTTATTACCTACTCTTTGAAAAGAAATGAAAAAAAACAAAAAACAAAAAATTTGAATACATTCCTCTATAATTTTGATTTATATTTTAATCTCATAATTAATTGTACTGTGCCTTCAAGCACGGGCATACGCTAGTATATATATATATAACAACTCTCGTGAAATAGTAAGGCTTTCATTTTCAATCTTTTCACTCTTTAGTTAAGTTTAGAACAGAGCCAAATTAAATTCAATTAAAAACAATTTAAAGGCATAATAAAAAAGGAAACCCCTGCTATTTTTGACCCTCACTGCCCTAAATTGATTTGTGGCTACAAATTATATATATATATATATATGTTTTTCTTCCATTCTCTCTCCTCCCCCTCTCTCACAAATGTGTGGGGATGTTGGGTCTGGATCATTTCCCAATAAAAAATGTTATCATATTCATCAATAATGACTACTAAAAATTATTTATATATATGCCTTTGTAGATGTATAGTACTTTTGTAGATGTATAGTACTTTTAAATTAGGGGGAATTTCATTCCATTGGGATAATTTTTTTTTTTTGGTACTATAATTCTCCCTTTAAATTAAGTCAAACCTTTTAAGTTCGTGAGAAATGGGATGACATACATAATTGAGAGGGAATAAAAATAAGCACAAGAATTATTTGGGTCTAGGCATTGCCACGTGGCATGGTTATGGATTATCACATGTATGACACTTGTCAAATTCTTATCAAATACTGCATTAGTGTTTTATGTTATGCAAAACTCAACAGGATATAAAATCTTATCAATATAGAAGCCCTGAACAACTATAAATTGTTTGGGATAGGACTTCTGAAACATTCAAACTACTTGCTAAGTAAGTCACTAGATATTATAAATAGGCAACACCCTCATGGGTTGAGGTACGCAATTTCTCTCTATGAATATTAGTTCATTAAATATTTTGATAATATTGGAGGACTGACTTGGGCATTGAAGGGCCTCCGGCTACGGTTGGGGGTGTTTTGTCTTGTAGATAGTGATCGTGTGGTGGTGTTGATCATCTACTTTGTTGGATTTCTTTATCATCAAATACAATATTTTTTATGTTCGTACAATTGGGACCGTTTGTGAAAAATGACTGAAATTAATGAAGAAGATAACTAAGTCGTTGCAGTGCTTGCTTGGTACTTCCATTGTTCGAGCAAGGTGGTCTATGCTAAAGCACAAAGGAGTGGTTAATAGCGGACGATGACAGCATTTTGGGTTGGCCATCATCTTTTTCTAATGTTCTTCATCAAGCTAACTCTGAACTATTGCATGGCTTCACAGCCCGATTACATCAAGCCAAACATTAGATTACTATTATTGCTTGCCAATAGCACATCTTATAAGATAAGGATTGCTCATAATCTTGTATGATTAAATAACAAGCGACCACACTTGGTCCTGATCAGTCATAGCAAGCAACGTGGATTATTTGACAAATAGATATAGATCATGAATTCCAAATTAAGGACAGAGCGCCGTCAACTTGCTTCTCTCATGAATAACAGAGAAGTTTTTAATTAAATTTCCAAAATGCATCGATTTTTATTCCGAGTATGGAAATATTATTATCAATTATAGATTTTATGCACTATTATTCAGATCATGGAGATATGGAAGATCAATTATATCGGATTTTTATTATTTGCGGCGCATGAATTTTATACATTATTATTCTGGACATGGAGGTGTAATTATCAGT